TGGGAGACACAGGAATCCTGGTGTGGTACTGTAGGATCAGCACTGAATTGTTAACCACAAGGTCGGCAGTTCAAATCTACCAGCTGCTCCTTGGCAACCCTATACAGAGGTGCTATGAGTTGGAACTGACTTGATGGCACTTAACAACAATACCTTTGATCCATAACAGCATTATTGCTATAAGGTCGATTTTTCCACCCATCTCTTACATCATAATCGCCTCATCAAATGCTTTGTGTGTGTTCACTAATACAGTTAATTCTTTTCTATATCCCCTGGATGCATTTTCCCCTCACTTCCTCCCTGGAAGATACACTAACAATAAATAAGGTGTATAATTAGTAAAAGTTAAAAAAAAAAAACCCTGATGGTTGTGAGATTTGTGGGATCTTGAATACTTCATAAATCTGACAGTACATGTCTTATATTGTTGATTCTACCTTATCCCCCACTCCCAAACCTACATAAACAGTGTCCTATTAAAAAAAAAAAAAAAAAAAATAGCACACACATGCACGCACACACATACATACACTAGGAGAAATAGGAGAAACTGGAGGGTCAGTATGGCAACGAACAGTAAGAAAGACAGGTTTTACAGATGGCAAGTCCTACCAAAGAGATCTAGAACTTTCTTACAATCTCACCTTTAATAGTCTCCAGCTCTTAAAGATACATGCCATAAATATACTGTCAAACTAAGCTAAAAGGATACAAACAGTAGAAAACAAAAGAGATGGCCAGGCCCTACTAAAAATTAGACACCTATATGCATCACAAGATATTGCCAAAAGAATAAAAAGACAGCCCTCAGACTGGGATTTTTTTTTTTTTTTTTTGTGATGACATAAAAGACAAGGAACTAATCTCTAAAATTCATAGGCTACTACAACACTTCTACAAGAAATTGACAAACACCTCAATTAAAAAATGAGCAGTGGACAACAACAGATACTTCACTAAAGAAGAAATTCAGGCCAATGAGCACATGAAGAGACAGTCATAATCATTAGCCATTGTTGTTGTTGTTGTTATGTGCCATGGAGTCAGTTCTGACTCAAGCCATTAGAGAGATGCAAATCAAAACAACGAGATATCATCTAACCCAGCATTAATTTGCTGTTGTTGTTAGGTGCCATTGAGTTGGTACTGACCCATAGTGACCTTATGTACAGCAGAATGAAACACTGCCTGATCCTGGGCCAACCTCACCACTGTTGCCACACTTGAGTCCATTGATGTTGCCACTTGGCCAATCCATCTCATTGGGAGTCTTCCTCTTTTTCTCTGACCCTCCACCTTACCAAACATCATATCCTTCTCCAGTGATTGGTCCCTCCTGACAATATGTTTAAAATATGAGAGATGAAGTTTGGCCATCCTGGCTTCCAAGGAACACTCTGGCTGCACTTCTTCCAAAACGGATCTATTGGTTCTTTGGCAGCCCATGGCACTTTGAATATTCTCCTCCAACACCATAACTCAAAAGCATCAATTCTTCTACGGTCTTCCTTATTCATTGACCAGCTTTCACATGCATATGAGGTTATTGAAAATACCATGGCTTGGGTCAGGCGCACCTTAGTCCTCAAGCTGACATCTTTGCTCTTCAACACTTTTAAAAAAAAAGGTCTTGTGCAGCAGATTTGCCTAATGCAATACGTCGTTTGATTTCTTGACTGCTGCTTCCGTGAGTGTTGATGGTTGATCCAAGAAGGATGTTTTAAGTCCTGTTCACTTTCAGCAAGCAAGGTTGTATCATCTGCATATCGCAGGTTGTTAATGAGTTTTCCTCCAATCCTGATGCCATGTTTTTCTTCATATCACCCAGTTTCTGTGATTATTTGCTCAATATACAGGTTGAATAAGTATGGTGAAGAAATACAACCTTGTCGCACACCTTTTTTAATTTTAAACCATTGAAAACATTTACTGATCAAGATCAAAGAGCACAGCCTTCGGTATGTATTACATCTCAATGTCAAGAAAACAAAAATCCTTACCACTGGGCCAGATAATAACATTCTTATCAACAGAGAAAAGATTGACGTTGTCAAGGACTTCGTTCTTCTTGGATCAACTATCAACACTCATGGAAGCAGCAGTCAAGAAATTAAATGACGTATTGCATTAGGCACATCTGCTGCACAAGACCTTTTTGGTGTGTTGAAGAGCAAAGATGTCAGCTTGAGGACTAAGGTTAACCTGACCCAAGCCATGGTATTTTCAATAACCTCATATGCATGCAAAAGTTGGACAGAGAATAAGGAAGACCATAGAAAAATTGATTCTTTTGAGTTGTGGTGTTGGAGGAGAATATTGAAAGTGCCATGGGCTGCCAAAAGAATCAATAGATCCGTTTTGGAAGAAGTGCAGCCAGAGTTCTCCTTGGAGGCCAGGATGGCCAAACTTTGTCTCTCATACTTTGGACATATTGTCAGGAGGGACCAGTCACTGGAGAAGGATATGATGTTTGGTAAGGTGGAGGGTCAGAGAAAAAGATGAAGACCCCCCCAGTGAGATGGATTGGCTAAGTGGCAGCATCGATGGACTCAAGCGTGGCAACAATAGTGAGGTTGGCCCAGGACCGGGCTGTGTTTCGTTCTGCTGTGCATAAGGTCACTATGAGTCCATACTGACTCAATGGCACCTAATAGGAACAACAATGTTCATCACAATGCTATTAACAATAGCAAAAAGTTGGAGACTTTTTAATACCCATCAATATAAGACTGGATAAACAAATTTGGTACATATGCACAATGGAATACTATGCAACACTGAAGAATAATGATGACTCTGCAAAACATATCATAACATGGATAAATCTGGAGGACATTATGCTGGGTGAAATTAGTCAATCATAAAAGGACAAATATTGAATGAGACTGCTGTTGCAAACACTTAAGGTTTTCATGCTAAAATAAATATCCTTTGGTGGTTACCAGGGGTGGGAGGGAAGGGAGAGGAATCCATTGGTTAGAGGATAGTTGTTAAGTGCCATTGAGTTGGCTCCAACTCAAAATGACCCTGTGTAGGGTTTCCTAGGAGGAGCTGGTGAGCTGGAGCTGTCAACCTTAAGGTTCAAACTGATGTTGCATTCCAGCGCGTTAACCCACAGCACCACATCATGCTAACTTGGGTGATGGAGAGGGCAATATATATATGTTCTGCCAAGAAAAGTGATGAAGACAACTGAAGACACAGGAGGTTTGCAAGGGTTAAGGGGATAGAGGTAAATGATGTTATATATGCAACCTGGAACAACAGTGTTCTCCTATTCTCCCTTGCCTACCCATAGACAGATACACAGGCTGAATGGGTATGCAAGGGAGAGTGGGAGTATTCCCACAAATACATAAGGATTTGAAAGAGGATATTTGTCTATCGGTTTTTACCTTTGTTGCAAACATACTTATGAATGTGGTGGAGTATGCAGGGGACAAAATGATGAAAATGTCTTAGATATTATCAGACATCTTAAGGCAATGAGTTCCTGGGCCTGGAGGCTCAGGACCACAGTGTCAGGGTACACCATGGTCAAATGGCACAAAGACAAAGTTCAACTTCCTACTCTGGTGAATAGTGATTGGGATCGTAAAAACTCATGAGTGGCCATCTAAGGTCTCTGCATGTGTGGAAGAAAGAACAGTGATAAAAATTTTAAGATTCTTGGAATCAACTGGTTCAATAGACCAATGGAATGTTTGAGTATCAATCATCATGACTCTGAGACCAGAAGAGCTAGATGGTGCCCAGCTACTACTATCAACGTCTCTGAAAAGGATCACATTAAAAGGTCCTTGATGGAGTGGGAAAAAATGTGGAACAAAACAAAAAAAAAATCATAAAAAAAAAAAAAGACTGTGCTTATTGGTCAGAAAGAGATTGGAAGCACCCAAGACTGTGGCCCTCTACCACCCTTCAAGTTTGGAACAGAACTCACTCTCGTGGCCCAATTTTCAGCCAAGCAGTAGTTATGTATACAAGGGAGCAACAACAACAGATTAACCATGGAATGGCGAATCACTCAAGATCAAAATGGCAGCATATACTTAAGGACATTTACCTAAATTGAGAAGGGATGGGAAGGAGGGTGGAATGGAATTAACCAAAGGAAGAAAGTGGAAAAACTATTGCTACTGAATAGGACTGCAAACAATGAGAGGAAATAAAGAGTATATATGTTGAATACAAAACTGATGATTTCTGTAAACTCAATTCACAATAAAAAGTTATAAAAAGACCCCAAAAGAGAATCCTGTTGTTAAGTGCTCTCGAGGAGGGACTGGTGGGTTTGAATTTTGCGTTTCAAAACGATCTTGTGGTCCAATGCTTATCCTACAGTACCAAATCCTTGTTGTTGTTAAGTGCCATAGAGTCGGTTCCGACCCACAGCGACCCTGCAAAGGGTTTTCCAGGATCAGCTGGAGAGCTTGAATGGCTGACTTTGCTGTTCAAACCGACTTTGCAGTCCAGCGCATTAAACCATAGCGCCACACCAGGACACTTACAGCAAGATAAACAGGATCCTTAACAACCAAAAACAATACTGTTTACCTACAGAAAATAGAGGAGAACACCGGTATTTGTACAATCGTTCAGTAAAACTGGAGCATCTGGCTAGAGTAGAAAAAATGAGATTTTCTGCAGCGCATAGTTTTTGCAGTGTTCTGCACACTGGTCAGTCAGGCGGGACCACATTTCCGATAGTGCTCCAGAGCACTTACCCAGTTGCCATAGCAAAGTCCTCAGGACTTCGGATCCCAAGGCTGAAATTTTCCGGGAGTGGGCTCTTTAAGCGGCAGAGTGCCTCTTTTTACCGCGCGCATGTGCACTGGCTGCTGGGCGGTGCAAATTGAGGTCGCTGGCGCTGAGGTTCAGGTCCTTTTCGGCTAAATCTGATTCCCTGGAGCCCGTGGCTTACTGCGCTTTTCTGCAAAGTCCCAGCGGTCCTGTGCGAGGACCGAGACTGCAGAGGTGCTGCGTCGAAACCAGCGTCTCTTATTCCTTCCGCTTGGGCGGCGGCTTTGTGGTATCGGATCGGACCTCGGCGTGCCCCTCATGGCGGGGCAGCGGGTGGAGGTCGACGGAGGGATCATGGAAGGGGTGAGTGCGGAGCTGGAAGCCTAGCGGGCTATGGCTGCACCCCTGGCTGGGGAGGAGGACAGCTTTGATGTCTGGTGTCTTTACTTCTCCTACACTCCTGCCCTTTGCAGGGTGGCCAGATCCTGAGGGTCTCTACGGCCCTGAGCTGTCTTTTGGGCCTCTCCTTGCGAGTGCAGAAGATCCGAGCCGGCCGCAGCACACCCGGCCTGAGGTGAGTTGGGCGACCGGGCCGCGGGGTGGGGAAGCGGGGATCTGGGCCGCAGGACTAGGCTAGCGATCCAGTGCTTATCCTACAGCGCCACTCCAGGACAGAGAAAAATCCATTTTCTAACCAGTGCCATCCTCTTCTGTAGCTCATTTTAGAATCATAGAACAGGAAAGGACTTTAAGATGGCTAATTTTTTCTTTCAGTAATTACTCCGGTTAGTTGTGAATAAGATCAGAATTATCTACGTAGAGAAGGAAACAACTTGACATTTGCCCTTCACATTACTTCTGTTTGGGAAGCTGGGTGTGTCATAAAAGAAACTCCATAAAAGACCTAGATTGAAGCTACTCTGGTTCCTTGTATACATTGCATTTTGATAGATAAGCTTCCCTTTGTTGTTGTTGCTGTTGTTAAGTGCCGTGGAGAAGGTTTCGGCTCACAACAACCCATGTAGGGTTTCCGAGGTGCTGCTGGTCAGTTTTTGGTTCAAACTGGCCTTGCTGTCCAGTGCATTATCCTACCGCACCACACCAGGGCTCCTAGCTACCCTTAGTCTTTAGTCTTTTTTTAAATCCCCCAAAGACACTTACTGATATGTGTAAACATTAGCAATCCAGTCACCAGTTGGAGAATAAAATTCATTAAGGCTGTTTTAGGTGCCATTGATTATTCAGTGAAGTGCAAGTGATCCTGGTGACTTTTAGGTCGTTTTACTAGTTTTTCTCTTTTACCACTTCTAATTTGTAACAATAAATAAATGTATGCATTTATGGCCAAAGTAACTGCTTTCAAAGTAATCCATAAAATGATAACAAATGGCAATTAGTCCAGACATTTGGTTTGACACTGTAGGATCAGCACTGGACTGCAAACTGAAAGGTCGGCAGTTCAAACTCACCAGCTGCTCCTTAGAAACCCTCTGCAGGGTCACTATGAATCAGAACTGATTCGATAGCGCTTAATTAACAAAAACAGCAGGTAGTCCAGGTACATAAAAACACAAACTGAAACTCTGACACTGAAGATGCGTCACTTACTGTGGTAAGTTGGTATGTTATACATTGCTATTGTCTTGTCCTAAACTGTGGGGATATAGGCAGCCTTAATGCACACATTTTGATGCAGTTTTTTGACCTGAAGGCCTCAGCATCTTTCTGGACTGGAAATGATTCGAGATTTGTGTGATGCGCAGCTGGAGGGTGCAGAAATTGGCTCAACAGAAATAACCTTCACACCAGAGAAGATCAAAGGTGGAACCCACACAGCAGATACCAAGACAGCGGGGTATGTGTATCACATTTCATGACGTTTGGCTGCTGTAGTTAGGCCTGGGTTCAAATATACAACTACATATATGCCTCATTTTCCACTCTTTTAAAATAGAGCAAAAATACTTACCTGTCAGATTTGGGGATTGTATATGTAAAGTTTTGGGGACCTAAGTGTTCATTAATTACTATATTTGGGATTTTTCTCATGTATATGGGTAATATGGTACTAGCCTATTGTCGCATATTGATGATGTTTTTAATATTTAAAAACAGAATACTCGAGACTTAAGTTTTCATATGCTATAGTTATAGCATTTTTATATAGTAGAAAATTGAATAATTGGTTTATAACTAATTATGAACTATATTCTACTAGTGTTATTGTACTTTTTGGGCAGTCTTTTAATAGGTATTTATACAACTCTAATAGTGGTTACGAATTGGGCTGTGAACTGCCAGGTCAGCAGTTTGAAACTACCAGCTGTTCTGTGGGAGAAAGATGAGGCTTTCTGCTCCTCTAAAGATTAACAGCCTCGGAAACACTGTACAGGGTTACTGTGAGTCAGAACCGCACACAACAACAAGAAGTCCTCAGTTGCAAACTGAAAGATCAGCAGTTCAAACCCACCAATTGTTCCTCTGGAGAAAGATATGGTGGTCTGTTTTTGTAGATTACAGCCTTGGAAACCCTATGAGGTAGTTCTACTCTGTTCTGCAGGGTGATATGAGTGAGAATAGACTAGACAGCTGCAGGACTTTTTTGTTTTATGCAACCCTAGTTAACAATTTTTATATCTGATCCTGATTTTTTTCCCATTAGGAAATGATACTTAACAACTAAATTGGACATGTTTAATTTTTAAGTATCTCTTCCTTTATTGCCATAAAATGCTGAGTGTTATTGAGATTTGCATTGTGATGTAAATAGACTTTTGTGATGAAATGGGACCTGTTACAAGGCCACGGAGAACTTTCCTATAGAAACTAAACACTTTTCTTTTTTAAGGATTTTTTTTTTTAATGTTTTATTGTGAGTTATGTGATAGTTTACATGGGAGAACATTACCTTTACATTCATCCTATCTTATACCGTTTCATTGCCAGGGTTACAATCCCCGCCATGCATCATCAAGCAACCAAAGGGTATACCCTGCAAGCCTACCCCCTGGTCGTCAGCACACAGCCCCTCTCACTCTCTGGGTCTAGAGTCCCCAGCTGCTCCATCTCTCCATGTCATTGTCTCTGCCTCCATCTCTGTTGTCACTGCTTCTCTGGTAGGGTCCCGCTCTCCGCTCTTCTCCCTTGATGGTTCCAGGGACCTCTGCTCCTGGACTGCAAAGTCAATCACCCCCTCCTTTTGCTACAAAATGTCCACCTTTACATTTCTAACCCTTACAATCAGTCCTGATAGCAATTATTCACCATTGTACCACAAGGGACCTATCCCCATCTCCTTTCATTAGCCCCACCCAGACAGATTGGATACTACTCAGTGGAGAGTCTACCTTCCTCCATACCCTCTAGATCTAGACTCCCTCTTGAAAGCTTGTAAGCCAGTCACTTCTTGCCTTTGTATCCCCCCTGCCATTTTGGGTAGCCAATGTCCAAGTTGCCCATCCCTGTCTACTCTGTGTATGGAGGGGTTGGGAATGATCCTTGCTATAAAGATTGTTCCCTCTTTTGAGCTACTGCATCCATAGGTGTAGGTCAAGTTCATCAAATTGTATCAGATTACTCTTTTTTTTCTCTTCTTTCTTCTTCTAGTTGAGCTCT